CAAAGCCCACTCAAAAGCACTTGCGTGTGTGCAACGAGGGGAGTCGCAGTGGCAGTAGCAGTGGCAGTCGCAGTCGCAGTGAGGAGTGGCAAAGCGGAGCAAGAGGGAAGTGGAGGCATACAATGAACGCAACTCGAGTTCAATAAAAATTATTAAACGAAACGCTTGGCGACCTTGCGCAAATGCGATGGGTTACATTGCGTAATGGAGAGGCCAGTCAACAGCTGGCAGCCCAAAAACAACATGACGAAGACGATGAGGAGAAGAGCAGGCGGATGCAAAGGAGAGGGAGGGGGAGAGTAGCTTGAACATGAAAACGAAGCTGAAACAGATGAAGGCAACTGGAAACCGGCTGCTCACCACCAAAAATTGTAGCAAGAGCCGGTTCAGTGAGTGTTTTTTTTACTGATTACAGTTGACTCTTCATTGTTATGCCCCTTAGACATATATATAACCGTTATAGTGCAACTATAAAAATGTATTTAACATTCAGAAGCTGACATTTTCGAATCATAAAGCGTACACTTTATATTCTTAAGCATATTATACCCAAAAGTTATTTTAGACGAACTTTCGTTGCGTGTCGTTAGTGAAGGGTATTTTACAGTCAGGCATTCTCGACTGACGCACTCCTACTTGTTTTTGTGTGATGTTTGGGGCTCAAATTAGTAAAACAGCAAAATCAACAAGAACAACAACCAAAAATAAAACAAAGACCAAAAAGGCCAACAGCTAAAGTCATCTGCCTGACTAGTCCGGCCGATAAACATCTTTAATTATTCATTCTAAATCAAAGCCAAGCAAATGCCAAAAGTGCCACAAGACCGTTAACAAACTGACTTGACTTAACTACTGTATGAGAGGAGGAGCGGGGCCGCTGAGCCTGTTTCACTCTAGACTATTAGAAGCGAACGATAAGAATGTTAATTTTCCGTAAGAACAAAATCAACAGTCAGTCAACAAAGAGCATCACAGGGAGTCTAAAAACTCTAAATTCGGGGTGTTTAGCATTTTTATCGACTGCATTCAAAACCCGTTTCGGTTACATATTCAAGTTTAACTTGACCTCAAGAATTTTTTAGCTTTAATTAATTTTAGATTTGTTGGTTTCTTTTTTATTTCATTTATTTGGTGTTTTTTTTTTTCCAACTTTCGGGCAAACGATTTTGAATGGCTTTGAATTTAATCTTTATTTCTGCTCAACTGAATACCAACTGAAAAAAACCCGAATTTAATTAATATGGTAATATAGGCACTTGCATGGCATCCCTCAAAGTCTGTTATAAGTAAAATAAACAAATTCTTAATTTCGAAACGCTTATGCCATGCATAACTTAAAAAATAACGATTCGACGTATAACAAACTAAAAGTAAATTCATAAGCATTTACGGAAACTGTTAGACAATAGTAATAATAAATATACTTATTTAAATGAACAGTAGGTTATGCTTGAACTCATGGCACTATTTTTGTGGTAGCCAGTCTTAAAGCACCTGTGAATTATTTGCGAGTTCACATGGCAAGTAAGATATAAAATGATTTAATAACTGCCTTAAGAGTTATAAGCACATTCATTTGAAATCATGCATATCTCTTAAGACACTAACGAATATGTTATATTTTACTTCAACTGTTGATTAGTATATGTTAGCACCTGTCACTAAATTCAGAACTCGCTTAAAACGGCACGTTTTCTCAACTTTTGAAATCGCAACTTTTATGGTATTCGCTTTCAGCACGTTATATTGTCATTTGGACATCAAACAGAGCGTAACTGATTGTCACGCAATGCGAAGCTCGACATTTGCAATATTTTTCTGGCTCCACTATAGAACGAGATACTCCTTCCCTCTCTCTCTCTCTCTCTCTCTCTCTCTCTTTCACTCTCTGTTTCTCCCTCTCTGTCGTGCTGCTTTGACCATAAATCGAATTGACGATGCGTAAAGTCATTTGAAAGCTTTTTAGTTTGAACTTGAAATTCGTTTGGCTGCGTTTTTTATTGGAATATTCGTTTTCGTTTCTGCTATTTTTTTATTTTTTGCTAGAAACTGCTGAAATTGGAACTTATTCTAATGATATTCCCCACTTTTGAAATAATTCTTCTTTGGCAAAACTTATGAAATCATTTTCAGGCATTTCCATATTTGATGAGAACAATTTGCATATAAGCAATAAAATATTATATGGCACAATATGAACATGATGCTATAGCTGTGTGTGTGTGTGTGTGTGTGTGTGTGTGTGTGTGAGTGTATGTTTATGTGGGTGGCATGTGAAATGGGAGTAAGATAAGTTGAAATTGCTTTGGTTTCATAGATGTGAGTGTATTTCTGAGCATATTCGGAGGAGGGCGAGCTGCGGGACATTAAAATACAATTAATCAGCTATTTTGGTTTAATCAACAAACTAATGCACAATTAACACCCTGCTGTTAATACTCAATTAGGTTGATCAGTGCATGATTAAGGTTTCTTTAACACTCGGTTTGGTCTTAAAAACTTTCTCTTGCCTTGATGTAAATTTGGTACTTTTGGTATATAGGTCAGGCTTGAAATTTCCTAAAACAGGTCTATGAGAAAATTAAATTTTATAAATAAGATACTTTAAAGAAAGACTGTATAAATGTATGTATTCTGAGAATTGTCGGCTCATTTGTATAAGTAAATATCAATTCATTTTTCACAGAGTCATTTAAATATTCAGTGTTTTTGGTTTTGCTATTAAACGGCGAAAAACAAATATTTCACTCATCAAATGCTTGTAAATGCATACAGATCTTTTTATGTGAAAAGCCAGCCATTTTTGAATTTATAAAAATTGCTCGGTACTTGTAATTGGGGATGCAAATTGGGGTCTGTGTAATAATTACATTTGATAGCTGTCACATAAAAAATAGACAAAACTGAAAAGGCAGCAAAGTTGGGATGTAGAAGCGTAAATACCCTACAAAAAATTATTACTTAAGTTTTACTCTATAATAAAAAACTCAAAAATATATGTCTTTGACATTGTGATCGAAGATACTTGATTAAGTGATAAGCTTGTCGAAACCCATTGTAATCATTTTTCAAGGGTATATCAAAAATTGATTTAATTTTTCGCCGATGTTCGCAAAAAAGATATTAAACTGCGCATGTATACAAAACGAAAAAAAAAAGTTAATTGCTGCGCAAAGAGTTGAACAAAAAAAGCCTGTATACGCCATTCTGTTGGCAACAAGCGCCCACATACACCCACTCACACACACACACACACACACAAAATATGTGCACACATCAGCTTACATATTATGAGTGTGAAAAGTAATTAAATAATACTCTGTTAATTATACTTTTTGATCTTTGCAATGATTTTTTATTGAGCAACATATAAAAGGCCAAAAATGTTGAAATGTTGAAATGTTGAATGACAAAACGAAACGGCGCAAAATAAATCCGTTTATGCTTATGTCCATAAATATAATACAACTAATATCAATGGACAGATGCTTCACAGAAATTGAATGTTGGTCAGTTGCGGGCTGTCCTCAGATCTCGATGGCACGTGAAACAACCGAACCGAGCTAAAATTCTTTTACCACATAAGCTGGATGTTTGGTGAGGAAAATGGTGGAAATGCAGCCATTGAGTTTATCGGACTCTGTTTGAGGCATTTTCGGCTTTCTTTGTGGTGTGGATTTTCTTCTTTATATCTTGTTTTATTTCGAAACTATAAACATTCTTTATAAGTCATTGTTGACTTTTTTAACTGAAACTCTTGCAAATTGTTTTGCATTTCTCGCAAGTTGTTTATTGTTGTTAAATTGGCAGAGAAAATGATTGGAATGCCTAAAAATACATGTTTGTTATTACTTTAGAATTTATGAAATAAAACGAAGTTTGAAATAATAATACTTTGAAACCATTTGTTATCACACGCATCAAAGTATGTTGTACAATTTAATAATTTGTCATTGATCACAACAGTTGATAAAGAAGAATGTTTTTGCTCTGATTTTCATTCAAGCGTTGCGCCAATTGATAAGGTCATAAATTGACAAGCAATGTTCATAAATCTAACAACTGTTGTCATTTATATTACAATCTGATGACAACCAATGAACGATTTGCATATAGTGGAAAAAGTCGTTCTGATACCGATAACGATAAGCTGATAACAGTGAAAACACATTAGACTCACTAACTCAAGTGACACTCCTCGCATTTGTGGTCTTACTAAAAACTTGGTCTCATACAGTTGACCCAAATTCACCTTTAGATATTGCGCATACGCAACGTCCAACAGCCAACATTTGACAGTTGCAACTGTCAGCACTAAAAAGCAGGGTCTTTAATTAAAAAACCAAAGCCAAACAACTGAGGTAAAAGCAAGAAATTATCATCAATGCGAGAGTTCAGGGTTAAGCGATACCCTGTTGCCAGCACATAAGAAAAGTAACTTTTGTGTTCACCGCATATAATTATTGCACTTATTTGTACAAATTCTTTAAAAATGATTTTGTGAACAAGTTGTGGCATTGGTTTATACTACATTTTTAGTGTCAATTCTAATTAACTTTTTCACAAATTGAGCATACCCCTTCATAGTTTGTGTAAAATTATAGAGTATATACGAACATAAGCCAACTCAGTTGTAAATGGAGATAGACAATTTTTTATTGTGGGCAGCACTGGGCGTCTCTGCACTTGCTACCTGTCCCTATACGTGAGGCTAATTATGTGTGGAGAGTCAAAGAGATACAAAGACAGACAGACAGACATCCAGATAGAGAGCAAAAACAATGAAACGCATAAAGCTATATCTAAAGCTATAGCTGAAATCATGGTAGGTAAATAATTACTATGCTAGTTGCATACCACATAATGGAGGCCAACGTTGATGGTCAATGTTCGTGGAGCGGAAGAGGTGGACACAAATTGTAGAGAAGAAAGCCGTATGGGCTTCGAAGGGGAAATTTGGGGAAAAATCAAAGTAAAATTTGGTATATTGCGGCACTTACCTTTTCGGTGCTGGACTGAAAGTAATAGACCATTACGAACATCCAAATGATGCTGACGAAGACAATTAATTTGATATTGCGACGCATGTTGATTGAATTTTCTCTATTTTTATTTTATATTTGTATTTATGTATTTCCTTTGGACAGCAAATAATGCGGACGTTTCTTTGTTATTTTTGTTGTTGTTATTACTAATTATTATTTGGCAATAATTTCACGTTGTATTTCACTAAGTAAAACAGAAATATTTTATTATCAGTTACATGAATCACGCATTGCAAGCACTCAAATCTGTTTATCATTGGTTTTTGGATTTTTTTGTTGTTTTGTTTTGTATTTTTTTGTTGCACTGTTTAATTATAATTAATTAGGTTGCGTGTTTGGCTTGTTAGCTCTATTTAATTATCAGGATATTTTACCTCAAATCTCCAGTGGCTAAAGTTTGTAATTAACACATTTAACATTTATGCAAACATAATTGAATGTGGAGAGTGCTGGCAAGTGAAGTGCTCCAAAGAGAGCAATTATTAAAATTACTAAATTATATCAGAGCTTCAGGGTGGGAAATACGAAAACGAGCAATAAGATTCGGGGAATATTAATTTTAATATTGGATTCATTTTGGATTAGCCATTAGTTGAAACTGTTTGTTTTGCATTTCAGCTTAATTAATAATATGCTGCTCCTACCTAAATACATATTTTTAATCAGACCATTGAAATTTCAATTCATTATCGAGAAACATATAGCTTATCAACATTTCAAATTGGACTGCTAAAAAATCTGTTTCCGTAAAATGAATTTCAGAATGGCTTTTACTCGAATTCCGATAATATTATTTGCTTTATTTTCTACGAAAAGTTCCGCATTACAAAACTAGCACAAAACTGAAATAAAGCAAACAAGCAGCACTTTTATCTTAAGATATGATAAACTAAGGATAATCAGACTTGCAGTTATCAGTAAGTGTAATTCCCAGAAACTGATAAGCGAAAATAGGTGGACAAGTTCAAAACACACAAATAGAAACACAAATGTGGAAAAAGGTACACTGTGATGTGGGTCAGTGTTGATGATGATAATATGTTAGATGTGCCGTTAATTGGACGTTAAACGTTTTCACAATATTTTTAGAGTGGCTACGAATCAATCTGGCTGTAAGCGTTTATATTAAGCTTGGGAACAGTGAAAGTATTTCACAGCTGACTTATTAATTATTGTTGGGTGTTTTTCGGGCACGTTTCAAAGTTGATATGGTCTCTGGTAATATTACGCATACGCAACGTTGTTCGATAAGATATGCAATAATTGATTTTGAGTTATTTATTTTGTTATTTTCTACTTTTTTATACTATTTTGTTTGTGATTCATTTAATGAGTGTGTACACATTTTAGCGTTAGGTCATTTTATAAAAGGAAATTCCGGGAAATTTACGGATATCTACAAACACTCACACACATTCACAAGACAATTGGCCAAGTGCTTATGGCTTCATAATTTGCTGATTACTGGGGCTGTTTATAGCATTCGGTATTTGACGCATTTATTTCTATTGCATTTACCGTTCAGTCGTTTAATATGTTTTATTAATGCTGTTATTGTTGGTGTTGTTTGCAGTCAACGCCGCCGTCACGCGCCACAAAGACGAGGCACTTAGCGCCCGTTGCACGCGACCCACGAGCCAGAAACACCGGATCCGATTTCGATTCCGACACTCGAGACTAACACTGAGACAATGAGGCAAAGAGACGAGACAGCAGCAGCAGCAGCAGTGTCTGCGTCAGCGTCGCACACACAAATGGCCAATGAGCGCAGCAGTCACATATATTTTATGCTGCCGCAACGGTAACGTTTCAGCTGTTCGATGGCTGCTTGGCGTATAAGAGCTCGCTGGTTCGTTTCGAACATGTTGCGTGTTGTGTGTGTTTGCCAATTGCAACTTTGTTTGACTAATACGACGTGAAACCAAACTTATGCTTGAGCAAACTTCGATTGCTTTGAGCGCACTCACAAACACACACACACACACACATATATACGCATATTCACATCCAAAATGCATAACGTGAACGCTGCGTATGAGTATTATTTCGCATGCAAATGCAAATGTGTTTGAGTTTACCGCTTCTTGCTTGATTGGATAAACATTATTTTAGAGTTGAAGTTTGTTAATTAAATGTTGTACTACGACTTTTAATGAGAATTTCATTCGGTTTTCATTGTGTCTTCGCTTGCGTAAACATTTTGTTAATTTACAAATTTGATTTAAGTGTCTTGCAGCTGCAATTGTTGTGACTTATTTGAGTCGGATTCTTGGAATAGGTTAATTTGCATTTGAAATTTGTGTCTATCAAAAATATTATGTTAAGATTTCGATTCCATTATCACATTTACCCAAATTTTGTTTACATTTCAAAACTCATTTCATTATTTAAACATTTCACTTTGTCGACGTTATATTCTATTTCAATTATTTAATGCTAGTTATTCAAACTTTTGATCCATCTCTGTTTTATTTTAATAAGCTCTCTCTTTGTATTAATTTTGGCAAGCGAAAGCAACAACACACACATTCAATTAAAACTAATTAAATATGCATTCAAATTGTTAGAATAAACTGCAATTATGCAAACTCTGGGCAACAACCAGGAAAACACCAACAAAGTGTATAATGGCCAACTCTGATTTAGGTAGTTTGAATTTTTGGTGAGATGAATACGAGCATTATTATTAAACTCACTTCGGATGTGTGTGTGGATGCGTGTGTGTGTGTGTGTGTGTGCGTGTGTGTGTGCGTGAATGCGTGTGTGTGTTAACAAGACACATAACGCTTTAAGGACAACTGAAGCAGCTGCAGTAAAAATAACTTAGAATGCTGTCTATCAACGGAGCAAAAATGTAAATATAACAAGAAATGAGCATTAGCTGAGCAAATGCGACTTGCAGATACCCTTTACTGGCCTATAAAGATTTTAAGAATATTTTCTTAATGCTTAACGCTTATGTGATTAAAAATAGCTGAGCAAATAAGACTTGAAGATATTTTGGAATGAGTAAAAAAGTGGTTTTTATACGTATATTTAATCGGTTGGTTTAGTTTGTTAAGTTTGTAACATGAATTTACTAACGCGAATATCTGCTTAACTTTAGTTTAATAATTACTATGCATTCATGTGTGTATGTGTATGAAATTCAGTCTTAATTTGGCTAAGAAATTTAACCTGGCTTAGCTTTAACACTTTTCGGGCTTAAGCTGAATACACCCGCTTGATCCTTTGATAGCATATTGTAGACAAAGGATAAAGCTGCACAGGCATACATACACACATGGGGAATTGTGCTCTACTGACAGTATCAGCTCTCCTCCTCTTTTCACCTCACTCTCTCTCTCTCTCTCTCTCTCCCTCTCACACTCTTTCGCTTCTGTCGGTCTCTGTGTTTCCTAGATTTCCCCACTGCCCGCTTACTTATTTAAATTGGCTTAAAACTCAACGAACAACGAACGGGCAACAAAGTCATGAATATGCAGACAGTCAAACAGAGAGAGAAACAGAGAGAAAGAGAGAGCGAGAGAGAGATAGGGAGAGAAGCAGAGAGTGCGAGGGGGCAAATAAAGTTAGACAGAGGAGTCAAACAATTATAAAAATACACATACGTATGCAGTAAACTTCCGCTCAATCCACACACAGCCCCCTCCACGTCGCACTCCTTGTTGTTGCAGCACCACTTTCCATCCCCCTCCCCAACAGTTATATGAGTGGCATTCCATTAGGCGTAATTAGAGCATTTAGCTGAGGAAAAACTAAAGACAAAACCAGCAACAGCAACAAGAGCAATGCCAACAACACGCAGGCAGAGGAGACATTTTGACTTGCATTCAGTAGGAACGAAACGTGTGTGTGTATGTGTGTGCCTGTGTATATGTGTGTGTGTATTATATGTATAGACATACATGTATATATATTTGTGTGTGTGTGTGGGTGTATTTACGTTGGAAACAATTAAGCTGCTTTTGCAAGTCTAGCTGTGGCAGCCTCGAACTGTGGCAGCGACTTGGCTCAAGTACGATAATTAAAAGTTGGTTAAATGTTGCATGAGTTGCAGCATCCTTCAAGCTGCCCCTTTGCTTCCCAGCGCCCTAGTGCACATTTGATTGCACACCATTTGCCAGTCTCCCCCACATACCCCACTCTCTCGACAGTTTTCCTCCCTGCTTATCCACAGCAAAGCATCGTTCCATTACTTGGTGGCTTCTTATGCCCTGTACCAATTATGAAATGTTAAGTAAGGGTATTTTAAGATTATATCTGGTGACTTGTAAGGTACATAAATTCATCAAGATAGTTTCGATACAATTAGATTTTCTTGTCCTTCAATATGTTATTTGTCCTGTATTATTCAGACATGAGGAAGATTTCACTTTATTAGAGTTTATCTGCCTTTAGTGAGTTCAGTGCTGGGTATCTCCTAGTTGAGTTCTCTCAATTCAAGCTTTAACATTTTCTAGTTACATATGTAGCCTGCCAACTCCTCTCCCCTTCTCGCGCACAACTTTACCTCCTCTGCCAGGCACAATTTGCCACAGAGCTTTTTGTCATGGCTGCATCTGGCGGAAATCAAAGTGCAAATGTGTTTTGTCAAAAGCTGGCGTAAAACTTGGCGCCCATGGTGCAAACGTTGAAAATATTTTAAGAACATTTTCGAAATTAATGCATAATTGCATTAGTCACTTTATTACCAAGTAGTGGGTGTGTAGGCGGAAGTGGGGATCAAGAGCTGGATTTCGCTGAGTTCTCTCTCAAGGCTGCAGTCACCAAATTTGTTGCAATTTATTAGCGTGGCAAAGTGCTACTGCGAGGGGGGCATGCGGAATGTGTTCTGCGGTTGCAATAGTGGCATTAGAATGGTATGTAAGCCTGCTGTGGGTGGTTGAGTGCCTGTGTGCAGTCTTAGCACATGTGTGTGTGTGTGTGTCTGCCTAATGTCTTGATGACAAGGGCGGTGGATAAGGCTGATAAGTGGCGTTAAGTGTTATCGCCCTTGGCTGTGTGGTTGTGTGGTGTGTCGAGTGGTGCCACAATTTATGGTATTTAACGAATTTCCACGAAAAGTGCGCAAATGTGCGGCTTACTGAGGTAAATGCTGCTTATTCCCAGCTACAACTGCTTTATATTAAGAGTTTATAGTTTAGACTTGAAGATGATATATTTGCCAAAAAATGCATTTGC